TGGACACATGAAGGGTGAATTCAAAGGCCAGTTGGGACGATTGAGGAATGAAGAGATTCACATATGAATTAACCAACAAATAAATGATAAACAGCCCACATGATCAAATAAAACTCATTAGTTTATTAATCCAACTGATATAACACACACACACACACACACACACACACACACACGTTATTGACTGTAGAGAGACTATCAAGCTTATGGCATAGGCAAGATATAGAAGGTGGAACATCTGGGAGGAGAAAAACTTCTGAGATAGAGCCAGGCATGGGAGAGTTTACCTGGGGAGATGTGAGGAGACAGAAGCATGGAATTTGAGCATGGGAACAATCAGCTATATGACAGAATGTAGGTTAGTAGTTGGGTTATTGAAGTTTTGATCTAGTCAGAGTACAGCCTATTTATATGATCAAGGTATATGTAAATATATTTTGAGTCTGAGTCTTATTTTTGAGGTCATGGGGCTGGGAGGAAGATCCATACTTAACTTATAAAATGATGACCAACATGGGGCAATTAGAACCCAAGCTTACAGCCTTAAAAGGCCTGGGTAAAAAGTAGAGAAAAGTCAGGCTAGCTGGACAAGAAGTCTGGTCTCTTAAAAAAAAAAAGAATGATGAAACTTCCTGGAACAGCACAAGACTAGTGGCTGCAAAGGAGTCTACAGAGTGGTAGCACAGAAAGTGGCTTTTTAAAAGACGCCCCTACTAAATTTAAAAGCAGAACACAGAAATTGAGGGGCAGAGCATCTGAGGGGGAGGAACCTATGAGGAGACTACAGCTGTAGGATAAGCCACTCCAGGTTCTCCCAAGCTTGATATAGCAGGTCCACCCAATCCTGTCCTATGGAAATTAACACTCAGTGCTCATGGCATGTGGAAATGCAGCCCTAGGTTGACTATTATGGCCAAAGTCAGGTGGAAGGCTTAAATGCCTTTCCCTGTATACAAAGGGACAATACAGCCTCCGAGCTAAAACACAACAGACTCATGAGAAAGAGACAGGCAGATCTCTATGAATTCTAGACCAGCCTAGTTTACCCAATAAAGTCAGGGTGAAACTCTCTGTTGATAGGTACAGCTACCTGCAAATGACAGTCTAAAATTCAAAATGATAATTTTTCCCTTAAAGATACTCTTTAAGCTTTTTTTTTTGCTTAATAGTAAGTAGAAGTATACTTACTAATTTTAAAAATAAATACACATCCATATTAAATTTTTATAAAGAGAAAGACAAATATAGGTTTAGTTATCCACATAATGTATGTTTGTAATTTCAAATAGAAAGATAATGCTGTTTCTGTTGCCAAAAAGTGGTTTTACCCAGGAAAGATATATTCTGCTAGTCAGTGTAAGGAATCCAGAGACAACTGGACAAAAGAATAAAGAATAATACTGTTAAGTGTATTAACTATATTGCACTTTATTTATCAGTTTGGGAATATAGGATACAAATGTGTTTAGTCAAAGGAGATAAATCAATCCAATAAATACATATGTCACAGAGACAGTATGATATTGTTTTAGATTTTAAAAGATAAGAGATTATTGCCAACTGAAGTCTAAATGTAATATGCCATCATACTGTCTAAGTGGGCACACAGACAGACAGTGGTCCAATTTAAAAAGGTATAGATTGGGGACTTGCTACCTCCAGTGAAGTATGGTATCAATACTACTCTGAACAACTAGTCTCTTTAAATGTGGGCTCCCATGGGTGAACTGGTTACAGCTCACCCTAGTGCATGGCATATAAATCCAAGGCAAAAACTTCTAAGCAGATGCAATGCTATTTGGGAATATGCTTATACACCAAATAGAAGGGAATTTGAAATAAGTTGAATACAGAAAAGGATATTAAATTAAGAGAGAAAAGGGTAAGACAAATACATCTACATAGATAATAATATCCAAAGGAGGGAGAAAGAAATAAAAATTTAAATAAATATTTTCAAGGTTACATAGATACCAAATAATTAAACTCATGCCTTTGATCTCAATACTTGAGAGACCAAGGCAGGGACAGAAAGATTCCTTGTGAGGTCAAGGTCAGTCTAATCTACAGAACAAATCCAGGTCAGTCCAGGTTACACAGAGAAATAATATCGCAATGAATAATAATATTAATTGTTTTAAAATGATCAAAATGAAGGTGACTATAAATTCAGTTGTAGTAGGATTTGATGATTTTTTAAAAATTTCCTCAGTTTCTGTTGTTATCTCTCCCTTTTCAGTTGTGATTTTATTAATTTGGATACTGTCTCTGTGCCCTCTGGTTAATCTGGCTAACGGTTTATCTATCTTGTTGATTTTCTCAAAGAACCAGCTCCTGGTTTTGTTGATATTTTGTATAGTTCTTTCTGTTTCTACATGGTTGATTTCAGCCCTGAGTTTGATTATTTCCTGCTGTATACTCCTCTTGGGTGTATATACTTCTTTTTGTTCTAAAGCTTTCAGGTGTGCAGTCAAGTTGTTAGTGTGTGCTCTCTCCAGTTTCTTTTTGTAGGCACTTAGAGCTATGAATTTTCCTCTTAGCACTGCTTTCATGGAGTCCCACAATTTTGGTATGTTGTGTCCTCATTTTCATTAAATTCTAAAAAGTCTTTAATTCTTTCTTTACTTCTTCCTTGTACAAGTAATCATTGAGTAGAGCATTGTTCAGTTTCCACATGCATTTGGGCTTTCCATTGTTTTTGTCATTATTAAAGACCAGCCTTAGTCCATGTTGATCTGATAGGATGCAAGGGATTATTTCAATCTCCTTGTATTTGTTGAGGCCTGATTTGTGACCAATTATATGGTCTATTTTGGAGAAGGTACCATGAGGTGCTGAGAAAATGGTATATTCTTTTGTTTTAGGATGAAATATTCTATAGATATCAGTTAAATCCATTTGGTTCATAACTTCTGTTAGTTTCATTGTGTCTCTGTTCAGTTTCTGTTTCCATGATCTGTCCATTGCTGAGAGTGGGGTGTTGAAATCCCCCACTATTATTGTGTGAGGTGCAATGTGTGCTTTGAGCTTTAGTAAAGTTTCTTTTATGAATGTGGGTACCCTTGCATTTGGAGCATAGATGTTCAGAATTGAGAGTTCACCTTGGTAGATTTTTCCTTTGATGAGTATGAAGTGTCCTTCCTTATCTTTTTTGATTACTTTGGTTTAAAGTAGATTTTATTTTATATTAGAATGACTACTCCAGCTTGTTTCTTGGGACCATTTGCTTGGAAGATTGTATTCCAGCCTTTTACTCTGAGGTAGTGTTTGTCTTTTTCACTGAGGTGCGTTTCCTGTATGCAGCAAAATTCTGGGTCCCGTTTATGTACCCAGTCTGATAGTTTGTGTCTTTTTATTGGAGAATTGAGTCCATTAATATTAAGAGATATTAAGGAAAAATGACTGTGGCTTTCTGTTATTTTTTGTATTAGAGTTGGAATTATGTTTGTGTAACTATCTTCTTTTGGAGTTGTTGAAAGATTACTTCCTTGCTTTTCCTAGGTTTTAGTTTCCCTCCTTGTGTTGGAGTTTTCCATCAATTAACCTTTGTAGTGCTGGATTTGTGGAAAGATATTGTGTAAATTTGGTTTTGTCAAGGAATATCTCGGTTTCTCCATCTATAGTGATTGAGAGTTTTGCTGGGTATAGTAGTCTGGGCTGGCATTTGTGTTCTCTTAGTGTCTGTATGATGTCAGTCCAGAATCTCCTGGCTTTTATAGTCTCTGATGAGAAGTCTGGTGTAATTCTTATAGATCTGCCTTTCTATGTTACTTTACCTTTTTCCTTTACCGCTTTTAGTATTTTTTCTTTGTTTTGTACATTTGATGTTTTGATTATTATGTGATGGGAGGTATTTCTTTTCTGGTCTAATCTATTTGGAGTTCTGTAAGCTTCTTGTATATTCATGGACATCTCTTTCCTTAGGTTAGGGAAGTTTTCCTCTTTAATTTTGTTGAAGATATTTACTAGCCCTTTAAGTTGGGAATCTTCACCCTCATGTATACCTATTATTCTTAGGTTTGGCCTTCTCATTGTGTCCTGGATTTCCTGGATGTTTTGGGTTAGGAACTTTTTGCATTTTGCATTTTCTTTGACAGTTGTGTCAATGTTTTCCATGGTACCTTCTACACATGAGATTCTCTCTTCTATCTCTTGTATTCTGTTGGTGATGCTTGCGTCTATGACTCCTGATCTCTTTCCTAGGTTTTCTATCTCCAGAGTAGTCTCCCCTTGAGATTTCTTTATTGTTTCTACTTCCATTTTTAGATCTTGGATGGTTTTGTTTAATTCCTTCACCTGTTCATTTGTGTTCTCTTGCCATTCTTTAAGGGATTTTTGTGTTTCCTTTTTAAGGGCTTCTAGCTGTTTACTTGTG